GCGTTCCCGATTAATTTCGACCAACAAACAAATAGCAAGCTTGTTGCAGAGGATTGGAAGGTGGGTTTGAGGACTAGAAGGGGGCCAATGGATGAAATGGAAGTGGTTGGTAGAGATGAAATTGCTAAGATTGTGAGAAGGTTAATGGGCGGGAGAATAAAGTAAGGAGATGAGGAGGAGGTAAGAGAGCTCAAGGAAGCTGCTGAGAAAGCTCTTGAAAGAGGTGGATCATCAGAGGCCAACCTCAATGCCCTTATTGATGCAATTAATGGCTAGTCAAGTGAGTCATTAACTTTGTGTTTGTTTGGCAGATGTTTTTGCTTCGGAAGCCAGAACTTCTGGCAGACAGACAAATGTGTCGTAAATGTTTAATACTTTTTGTGAAACATTTGCGGTAGTTTTCCTAGATGGTGACGGAATTGTGAGACCTGATGTTCCTTTTAGCAGTGCAGAATCAAAATACAATATTGAACAAAGTAGGTGTAACTGATGAGTTCTATGGTGGTGGACTCAATGGAGTAAATTATAGCGATCCTGCTACTGTGAAAAAATATGCTAGAGCCCAATGATCAAATCTTTTGTTAGAATTGATGCCAATTCAGTTGAATGGGAGGGGCATATGCATTATTATTTGTTACCTTTTGTATATTTATGCATCTAGCCCATGGTGCGTTTGGCACTATGTACCCTTGTGTTTGTATCAAGATTTGGAAAGCACTTAAAAATCTAAATTTGCTTGGGCACTTGGCTTGGTAGTTGGGTTATTGGAGAACACAGTGAAATGGTGGTTAGGTATTTGAGAGCATAATAGCTAACTCCGTAGGATGCTAAGCTTCTTAGTTACATTCTTAAAGACTGGAGATAAAAAATTACTCGATAGGATCCTAGGCTTCTTAGTTACATATCATTCTTAAAGACAATGGAGAGAAAAAATTGCTCTCTCTCTCTCTCTCTCTCCATATGCCAAAAATTAAAATGTAGAGCTTTTTATGTGCGGATACCTTTTGTTTATTTTTATTATTATTTGATGTTATTTTTCTCAAAAATTACATGGAGCACTCTTTCCTTGGCACTTTCTTTTCTTTTTTTTTCAAAATTACCTCTCGAAAATTATACGTGCACCCTTCCCTAGGTTTTTTTTTTTTTTTTCTTCAAAGTTGCCCCTAGAAAATTACACGGAGCACCTTTCTGTTAGCGCATTTTTTTTTTTTTCAAAGTTGCCCTCCTATCCTGCAAAAACAACACTAGACAGGTGCTTCCTTAAATGCATTGGGGTAGGGCTAAATCAAAGAAAGGGACATATTCTTAGGGGGCATAGTCTTAGGGAGCATAGTATAAGTTTACTTCCTTAATAAAAAGGCCGGAGGATTTTTTTAAATTTAAAACTTTGAGAGCCATTTAATAATCACTAGATGATTATTTTCAAAAGTTAAAATTCAAAATTTGAGTTTTCTAATAAGAATAATTACGTAAATATCTTTTTTAGGTTTTGTTATTACCAAAATGCCAAATATTTTCTGTTATTACCGATATATCCGTTTTTTTTTAACTTCATAATAATTTTTTTTTTAAAAAAGAAATGATCCATTTTCGGGTTTTCAAAAATCGAAATCACGTCAATTTTTTTTGACAAACCGAAAATTCACAATTGTCGGTTCTTCAATAACCTAAAATAATTTTCTCTCCCAAAATCGACAAGTTTCAGGCCAAAAACCAGATGCCCACTTTGGTATGTCTGCTCTTCAAAACCCCACAACCATAGCATTTCTTATTAGCAAAGATGGTTTCAGAGAGAGAGAGGTTTAAGGAAAAGAAGGGATCTCTGATTGAGAGAGAGGGTTTCAAAGAGATAGAGAAGGGCTATCCGATTAGCTAAGATGGTTTCAGAGAGAGAAAGAAAGGTTTCAGGTAGAGAGGGGGTCTCTAATTGAGAGAGGGCGGTTGATAGAGAGAGTGTTTCGTAGAGATAGAAAAGGGGTTTTAAAAAGAGAGAGAGGTAGAGAGAGAATATACAGAGGATCCACAAGAGAGAAAAAAATTTCGGTTATTGAAGAACCAAAAATTTAAAATTTTCAGTGATTTTAGTTTTTGAAAAACCCAAAATTGGTAGTTACATATATTTTTTAAAAAAATTTGTTTTGAAATCGAAAAATGGACATAGTAGTAATAACAATAGATATTCGATATTTTAATAATAAAAAAACTAAAACAGATATTTATGTAATTTTCGTTTCTAATACTTAGATCTCAATCGTTTAAAAATTAGATGTTCTCTATTCAATATTGAGATAATATATATTTTTTAGGTCTGTAGAGGGCATGCTAAGAAATTCTGTTTTATTGAGATCAATCTGCAGGTTGAAGATGTTATATATCCCCAAAATTTGGGTTCTTTGAATAAAGGACCCGGTTTCTATACAGCCAAGCCCGCATGTGTAGAAATGCGAGCCTCTTAATAAATCTATTTTTGAGATGGATAGTTTTTAAGGACATGTAATCTCTAAAATAGAAAACATGAATGTGAATAAATAAATAAATTTTAAAAACTAGAAATGATAATTCTAGTAAGAAAACGTTTGGAATGTTACTTTCTATCGTCTTTAGATAGAACGCCTACTTGCATCCATCTCAAAGATGGATGCTTTACAATTTTTAAACTGCATATGTAGAAATGCGGTCGAGCCCGCGTGAAACAATTTTCCTTGAATTAATTTTAGGTACAATTTACTTGATACTATAGTATCTTTTGATAAAGCTGCACGTTGGTGCTTAAAGCCAAAGATGGCAAGGCATAAAAAGAAGAGTGCTAAAAACAAAGTGTAGGGTTGCATTTTTTTGTTTTTTTAATTCCCAAAAGAATTTATACTCCTTTGAGAAGAATTGTTCCTTTATCCCCTCACGTAAAACCGCACTTAGTATTAATTTAAGGAACCCAACTTTTGGGAAGAGAACCTCTTGTAGCACAAATTAACGTCAATGAAAAAAGGGAAAAGTTTTAATAGGGTTGCAACCTTAAAATGTAGAATCACAAATACACCTCAAAAATCTATGGAAAATATTGTTTTAATGTTGAAAAAACTCTCTAATCCATTGAGATGTATGAATATGAAAAAAAGAAGTTTTGAGCCCCGAAAATAGCGCATCTTGCAACATATTATCTAAACCGTTTATTTTCAAGATTTTCATATATTTATAGATCTACTTTATTTTAACCATTTTTGGATTTTAAAATTCTCTAATTAGGTATGAAAATAAATTTTAAGGTAGTACTAAGATTTTTTACAACAAAATTATATGTCATGATAAAATTTTAAGGTGCGCCTTAATTGGATTGTTTAAGGTTTCAACCTTATAGAAATGGCGCCCATGAAAAAAATGACTAATTGCATCTCTACATATTTGAAAAAATAATATCTCAACATTGAACAGAGAGCGTCTAATTTTTAGATGGTGAGATCTAAAGGTTAGAAAACTCAAAATTTAAATTTTAACTTTTGAAAATAATTAAATTTTTTCGAGGGTGAGATCTAGTGTTTATTAAGTAGTTGTGAAATTTTAAATTAAAAAAAACACCACATGTCTTTTGATTTTAGACCCGACGTTTCAAAGTATTTTATTTTTAGTTTTTTAAGACAATTTTTTTGAGTATGAAATTCAGTGTGCCATCTTCTCATTGGGGCACACCTATAAAAAATTTTAACAATAATTTTTCAATAAAATATAATGACCAAAATACCCTTTGAATATTTTCAGGAGTATTTTGGTCATTTTATTTTATTGAAAATATTTTCCTTTTATATTTTTTGTTAGTGTGAGTTTAATAGAAGAATGAACGTCCAAAATTTAGCGTCAAAATAGTTTATAGAAAAAAAGATAACAATAAAATAGTTAGAGATGTGACATTGTGATTGGTGCAATCTTAGCCCTCCATTAAAAAATAGACGGTTGGATAAGGAGAGGATAGATCTTCTATATTGTAGGGGAACATAGAAAGCTTTCCCTAAGTTTAGGAAAATATTTCTATATTCCCCTACAACATAGAAGTTATATCCTCCCCCTACCATCCAGCCTTCCATTTTTTATCAAAGAGCCACTCACCGTTTGATCTTAGATCCGACGTCTCAAAGTATTTTATTTTTAGTTTTTTTAATACAAATTTTTTTAATATGAAATTTGTACATACGATCTTCTCTTTGGGGGCGCACCTATAAAAAATATTAACAATAATTTTTTGATAAAGTATAATAACGAAAATACCCTTAAAACTTTTAGGAGTATTTTGGTCATTTTATTTTATTCAAAATATTTTATTTTATATATTTCGTTAGTGCAAGTTTAATAGAGGAATGAACGTCCAAAATTTGCTCTCAAAATATTTTATAAAAAAAAATTGAAAATAAAATAGTGTGGAGAAAAAATAGATGGTTGGATAAAAAGAGGATAAAACTTCGATGTTGTGGGGAACATAAAAGCTTTTCCATAAACTTATGCTAAATTACCCCGGAGTAGGATTTTTTTTTTTTTAATTTACCCGCAATGAATCCAAGGAGCGTCCGGCATTGATACTGCACCGGCATCATGGTAAAAAAACGTCCGTAACATAACTTTATATATAGGTGAGGCTCTAAACAATCAAATTGAACCTACTATAAAAATTCCTTTAGAAGAGGTTGTTTTGATGTCCAAATATGCTCAAATTGACTATTTCGATATCGGACATGAGAAAAAAAAAATGGATTTCAAGTTTTGAAAATAGTGTATTTTGTAAAGCATTTTTGGACCAATCAATTTTCAAGATTTCAAGTATTTATAGATCTGTCGATCTATATTATTTTTGAAATTTTAAATTTTGTAAATAAAAATTAAAATATATTTTAAAGTTATTACAAGAATTTTCAATATTGAAATCACATTTCTCCTTACTATTTAAAGGTAGGCTCTAATTTGATTGTTTAGAGCCTAGGATATGTACAAACCTCACCAGAAAAAGCTCTAAAATTTAAAGGCCACTAAGGCTGCCATTTGGATAGCAACGCGTCCCAGTGTGGTCCCGACCCGACTTCCGTTTCTGATCACGAAACTGAACTTGCTTCACCTCTTCTGCATTCAATACCATTGACAACCTATCTTCCACATTCATCCGCCCGCCCGCCCATGGCAGAACAAAAGATCCCGGTCGTCCAAGAACCAGATCCCGGCCACGCAGAGCCTATGATTGTGGCGATCCCATATCCGGGCCAAGGGCACATCAACCCTATGATGCGCCTTTGTATGAGACTGGCGTCAAAAGGTGCGCTCATAAGAATTGTGGTCACTGAAGAATGGCTCAGTTTCATGACTTCGGCTCAGGAGCCGCCGCCTAACGTTCGGCTACTCTCTATACCGAATGTTATTCCGTCTGAGCTGAGCCGAGCGGCTGATTGGGTTGGCTTCGTCCAAGCTGTGAACTCGACGATGGAGGAGCCAGTTGATAGGCTTATAGATTCCATTGAGCCCATGGTTTCGGTGATCGTTGCTGATGTGTACATGCCGTGGGTTGCTGATATGGCAAAGCGGAGGGGCATTCCGGTGACTTGGCTCTTTCCGATGGCCGCCACGGTGTTTTCCGTGTTCTATCACTGCGAAGTCTTGCTTTCGAAGGGCCATTTTCCGGCTAATTCTTCAGGTAAATTCAGTGTCTATTTTTATTGAGGACCTTTTTCTCCTGTCTTTGCGAAAGCTATACTGTGATGCTCATGAACTTATGAGATATGTGGTTGTGAAGGTCATTAGAGGTGATGGGGGTTCGTGTACGGGTCAGATCTGAATGGACTCGGATCCAGATCCGAATAGTAACGTATATCTAAACCAGTTGGGTCCTGGGTCGAGTCGCATCCATTGTCACAATGAGCTTATTTATTTTACTTTTTTTGCTTTTTTTTTTACCATCATATACCTTATGACTATAAGTTTTTTTTTCCAATAATATTGATAATGTTGTCAATATTATGACAATATGAACATCTAGCACGCGCCTAAAGACACACGATTGCCATCATATACCCTACGACTACCGGTACGCGTTAGGTTGGGTCCGGCTAGATACGGACTTGGACCCGAACCCATACTCAGACCCAAACCTAGATCCAAAAAGTAGTCGGGTCCAAAATTTAGACCCATATCCTACCCGCGGTCGGGTATACCCGTTGGGTTCCGAGTCTGATTGGGTCCATTGCCACCCCTAAAGGTCATCACCGTTCATGTTACGGTTGGTTGGTGATAAACAGAGGGATCTGGATCTGGATGCTAGGTGGGTCTTCATTCTTTTGAGTTCTCTTTCTATTATTGCCCAACTTGCTGATTGGAGGGGGGTGATACATGTGACCAAATCCCATGTGGTTCTCTATCTCACTTGAGGATATTCTTCAATAAGCGCTTGCACAAAATGCCCTTTACAATGAAAGACCTTTGGTGCTCTCACAGGAGAAAATTGTCCACTTGGTCCAACATGCGAAATAACTGGCAGACGAAATCTATTTGAACTTTCAAATCATCTTTATTTCAAAATAATATTTCAGGCCCCAAAAATAGTTGACGTAGATACGTGCTCCAACCGTGAAAGCAACTTTTTATTTGTGATCAAATCTAGATTATTAAGACGATAAGAAACATTTTCTTCTGGTGTTGTTCATCTGTCGAATCTCATATGTATTACATGTAAAAATAAAATTGTAAGTAGGTGTTTTGCCCGGCATCGTGTACAATTTGGTCTTGCGAGACTAGGCCACATGCACCTATAAATAATACTAAACACTATTACATGATAAATATTCAGCTCATAAACTACCAAAGCACCAAAAAATTTATAGAATCCAAAGGGTGTAAACTCTCACAACATATACTGGGAGGGAATTTTTGTACACTATCAGTCTCGTTTACTTTTTAGGGAAATTATAAAAAATATACTGTAATTTTCATTTAATTAGAAAAAAACTCTCAACTTTCATAAACCTGGTCCACATCTATTTTTTTCAATTTTGACATTTTTTGACCAAAATAACATTCATAGTAGTCGTATTACCGTAATCTAAGCATTACGGTACTTTACGTATCGTAATGACCAAGCTAAATATTACGGTACTTAAAAGACCATAAAGCTCACTGAGTCTCTTTCTCCATCATTTGCCACATATGAGTGTTACGGTCTTTAAAGTACCGTAATATTGGAAAAAGGGCGGGGTTGTGGTGGTAGCACCCCACATCATAATCACCACGTTGTGGTTTTCATTACCGATGATACCACTCCACTAACACTTTCAAAAAATTAACACCTAAATTATTTGAAAAAAAGAAAAGAAAAGTAAAAAGCCTGTCTTCCCCGCTGAATTACCAAAAAAACAACCATACCAAAGATTAAAAAATAAAGTTTCGCTTGTATCTCAATTTGCAGCAAATAAAGAAGAATACGTCGACTACATTCCCGGTGTCTCTCCAACGAGGATACTGGAGCTTCCAAACCTATTCAAAGGAGGGGAGTCCCGCGAAATAGCCGAGTCGCTAAAGTTCTTCCATCAAATCCAGAATGCGAAATCCATCCTCTTTAACTCGTTCTATGAGCTTGAACCCTCAGCAATCGATGCCTTAAGTTCACTAGTCCCCCGACCAATTTTCCCTGTTGGCCCCTTGATCCCTTTCCCGGCACCCAAAGACCATGAATTAAAGACCAATGCTAGACCTGAGCTTGATTGCTCTTCATGGTTAGACTCACAGCCTCATGGCTCCACTCTCTATGTTTCACTAGGCAGTGTAATGTTGGTCCCTGCTAAACAAATGGAGGAACTGGCACATGGACTCATTGAGAGCGTAACCCGGTTTATCTGGGTGGCTCGCGAACCTTCAATCAATTTAAGAGATATGTGCACAGACAGGGGCTTAGTAGTGCCTTGGTGCTCTCAATCTAAAGTTTTGAGGCATCCCTCTGTGGGAGGTTTCCTTACCCATTGTGGGTGGAACTCCACTGTGGAAGGTGTATTGACTGGTGTACCAATGTTAACATTCCCGATTTATTTCGACCAACAAACAAACAGTAAGCTGATTGTAGATGATTGGAAGGTGGGGTTGAGGGTTAGGAGTGGGCCAATGGATGAAATGGAAGTGGTTGATAGAAGAGAAATTGCTAATGTTGTGAGAAGATTAATGGAGGGAGAAGAGAGCAAGGAAATGAGAAGAAGGATTGAGGAGCTCAGGGAGGCTGGGGAGAAAGCACTTGAAAAAGGAGGGTCATCAGATGCCAACATGAATGATTTTTTAAAGTCATTAAGAAGTTAATAATGTTCGATTGTAGTTTAAATGGAAGTTTGTTTATTGAATGGGTGTCCCTGTTCCTTTTATCAAGTATATGTGTGAATAGAGAATAAAAAATTTACAGTCACCAAATCAATGAGCCTTGTTCAAGAGACGTCTTGCACGTTTGGAAGATTTTCCCTTCTCTAGGAGAGGACCACAATGGAATTTTGAATACCTAATTTTCAAAAGACAGGTTTTAACTGGATAATTATTTTAATGTCTCTCAAAGCAGGTATTAAAATGTTTGATTTGTTTAGTCTTTCTTTAAAAGAAAAAGTATAGGGAAAAGTTTATGGAGAGCCGAGGCTCTAAACAATCAAATGAGAGCCTACCTCCATTAGTTCACTAGAAGAGGTTGTTTTGATGCCTAAATATCCTCATATTGATCATCTCGACATTAAGATGTATGGACATAAGAAAAAAATTGATTTCAAGTTGTGAAAATAGAGTATTTTGTAATGCATTTTTGGACCGTTAATTTTCAAGATTTTCAAGTTGTCATAGATTTGTCGATCTACACTATTTTTGAAGCTTTTAACTTTATAAATAAAGATGAAAATATATTTGAAAGCTATTACAAGGATTTTCGGTATTGAAACCACTTTTCTTTGACACGTTTTGAAGGTAGGATCTAATTTGATTGTTTAGAGCCTAGGCTCTATACAAACCGCACCCAAAAGTATAAGGTTGCAACTTTATACATGTGCATGTCAAAAATCCAATAGAAAAGAGCGTTTTTAAGTTGGAAAATCTTCCTGAGGATCATCTCAACGTTGAGTTATGATTTTGAAAGAAAAAAATAATTCAAGTCTTAAAAATGGTATATCTTGTAACAAATTATTTTGACCGTCTATTTTCAAGATTTTCAAATGTTTGTAATTTTGCTCAATTTGTAGTATTTGGACCTTCCTCAATGAGAGACAGAGAGATGGTAGGATGCTAAGCTTCTTAGTTACATTCTTAAATACCCGAGATAAAAATTTCTCGACAAGAACCTAAGCTTCTTAGTTACATAGCATTCTCAAAGACAAATGGAGAGAAAACATTGCGATCTCTCTCTTAAGCCAAGCAAATTAAAATAGAGCGCTTTTTATGTATTTTTCTATTTATTTATTTTAAATTGCCCTCCTATCCTGTAATAACAGCATCCGATGGATAATGAACCCTACATCTCCTTAAATGCATTGTGATTAAATACAAAATAGAGACATATTCCTGGGGGAGAATAGTCTAAGTTTACTTCCTCGATATAAAGATTTACTTGGGAGGGTTTTTTTTTAATTTAAAAAATTGAGAACCTAGATGCTTATTTACAAAAGTTAAAATCCGAAATTTGAGTTTTCTAATACTAAGATCTCACCTTCTAAAAATTAGATGGTCTCTATTTAATCTTGAGATAATATTTTTTTTAAGTGTGTAGAGGGTGTGATTAGAAACTATTTTTTATTGAGGTTAATCTGTGATTGAAGATGTTATATCTCTAAAATTTGGGTTCCTTAAATTAATCTTAGATGCCTTATTACTTGAGGAAGTAAATAAATAGTATACTCCCAAAGGAGTATAATATCTTTTGATAAGTCTTTTAAAGCCAAAGAAACCACAACGCAGGGCCATTTAATAAGGAAGGCTGCTAGAGAGTAAAGACAAAAGTGTGCTGGGGTGCTTTTTTTTTTTTAAAATTACCAAAGAAATTTATAGTCTTCCGAGAATATATCATTCTTTTGCCCCCTCATGTAAAACCACACTTAGGGTTAATTTAAGAAACAGAAATTTTGGGATATAGTCTCTTCAACCTATATAGATTAATCTATTTGAAAAAATTACAAATTATATCCTCTACACATTTGAAAAAAATTATTGTATCGAGATTATTGCATATCCCTTCTTTAATTTAACTGCAGTGCATCTTAGGAGCGTGTGGGTTATCCCCGGTCCGGTATTGTTATTGGCAATTCAGAAAAAATCTTCCTACATAAAGAGCTCTAAAATTTGAAGGCCACAGGATGTCATTTGGACCTCAACGCGTCCCTGTGAGGTCCCCACTTCTGATCAGTAAACTGAACTTTGTTGCCCGCCCGCCTGCCCGCGGCAGAACAGAAGATCCCGGCCCTCCAAGAACCAGATACTGGCCATGCACAGCCTATCATTGTGGTGATCCCATGCCAGGGCCAGGGCCACATCAAACCCATGATGGGCCTTTGCTTGAGACTGGCGTCACAAGGCGCGCTCATTATAATTGTGGTCACTGAAGAATGGCTCGGTTTCATGACTTCGGCTCAGGAGCCGCTGCCTAATGTTCAGCTACGCTCTATACCGAATGTTATTCCTTCTGAGCTGAGCCGAGCGGCTGATTGGAGCGGATTTGTCGAAGCCGTTTACTCGATGATGGACGAGCCAGTTGATAGGCTTATAGATTCAATTGAGCCCATGGTTTCGGTGATCCTTGCTGATGTGTTCATGCCGTGGGTTGCTGATGTGGCCAAGAGGAGGGGCATTCCGGTGACTTGGCTCTTTCCGATGGCCACTACGGTGTTTTCGGTGTTTTATCACTTCGATATCTTGCTTTCTAAGGGCCATTTTCCGGCTAATTCTTCAGGTAAGTTCAGTGGCCTTTTCTCCTTTATCTTTTGAAAAGGTACACTGTAGTGCTCATCACCTAAATAGCTTACCGGTAACAAGAACAACGGATAGCGTTTTTAATACGAAAGATATTAGCCACTTGTCCCATATTTGAATTGCCAGACATGGGTTTTATATGGTATTTCAAACATCGGACAATAAATGACTATAAAATTTAAAGGACTGGAGCTGTCTGGTAACACAAATACCGGACATCAGTTTTACGTTGTGAGATATTAGCCCCCCTGTCCAATATTTGTGTAGTCGAACAAGAAAGTAACTTGGACAAAAAAATGCTGGGGGGTGCTCTTAATTTCAGCCAAATACGAATTCATTTGGTAATTGACCCCCTCCCATAGCATCCATACGTAATTTGTTCAAAAGTTTATAGAATCCCGAGGATGTGGAACCTCACAAGAAATAGTGGGAGGGGGTTTTTGTACCCTATCAATCTCCTTTACTTTTTATCTTTGTCAAAGATAAATGGAGACTCTGAAATGAGGTCGCCAAATCAAGCTCTATACTTATCTCTGTCGTAGTGAACATACTAAAGATTGGGAAAGGGACTAAAGTTGTGGTGGAAGCACCCCAATACCGCACTCACCATGTTGTGGTTTTCACTCCCAAAATGACACCACCCCACTAACACTTTTAAGAACTACTTCCAAAACTAATTGAAAAAAAAAAAAAAAAAACCCGTAAGGGTCCTGTCTTCTCCACCAGATTCTCAAAGAAAAACCATGTTTCGATTATATCTCAATTTGCAGCAAATAAAGAAGAATACGTCGACTACATTCCTGGTGTCTCTCCGACTAGGATATTGGAACTTCCAAACGTGTTCAAGGGAGGGGAGCCCCCACGAAATAGCTGAGTCTCTGAACGTCTTCCATCAAGTCCAGAATGCGAAATCCATCATCGTTTCCTCGTTCTACGAGCTTGAATCCTCAGAAATCGATGCCTTAAGTTCACTAGTTCCCCGACCAATTTTCCATGTTGGCCCTTTGATGCCTTTCCCCCCACCCAAAGACCATGAATTCAAGACCAATGCTAGACCTGAGCTCGATTGCTCTTCATGGCTAGACTTACAGCCTCGTGGCTTCACTCTCTATGCTTCACTAGGCAGTGTAATGTTGGTCCCTGCCAAACAAATGGAGGAACTGGCACATGGACTCATTGAGAGCAAAACCAGGTTTATCTGGGTGGCTCGTGATCCTTCAACCAATTTAAGGGATATATGCACAGACAGGGGCTTAGTAGTGCCTTGGTGCTCTCAATCTAAAGTTTTGAGGCATCCCTCTGTGGGAGGTTTCCTTACCCATTGTGGGTGGCTCTACATTGGAAGGTGTATCGACTGGTGTACCAATGTTAACTTTCCCGACTAATTTCGACCAACAGACAAATAGTAAGCTGATTGTAGATGATTGGAAGAGGGTTAGGTGTGGGCCATTGGATGAAATGGCAGTGGTTGATAGAAGAGAATTTGCTAATGTTGTGAGAAGGTTAATGGAGGGAAAAGAGAGCAAGGAAATGAGAAGCAGGATTGAGGAGCTCAGGGAGGCTGGGGAGAAAGCACTTGAAGAAGGAGGGTCATCATATTCCAACATGAATGATTTTCTAAAGTCATTAACTAGTTAATGATGTTTGATTCTAGTTTACATGGAAAGTTGTTTATTGAATGGGTGGTCCCCTTAGTTATGTTCCTTTTATTAACTATATATGTTAATAGAGAATCAGAAATTGATAGTCACAAAATCAGACAGAAGAGTGTCTAGCACATTAGGAAGATTTTCCCTTCTCAAGGAGAGGACCACAATGAATTTTGAATACTTACTTTACAAAAGACAAGTTTTAACTGGAAAATTCTCTCAAACAGAAAATGATTTATTCTGTTCATAGTTATTTTTTATCCTTAATGGTATATTAAAATGTTTGATTTGTCTTTCAAAAATCCAGTAAAAAAAAGTGTTCTTAAGCTGGAAAATATTCCAGAGGATCATCTCAAACCTCAAGAGCAATGGATTTAAAGGGAAAAAAAAATTCAACTTTTAAAAATGGCACATCTCGTAATAAATTATTTGGATTGTCTCAAGATTTTCAAATGTTTGTAGATTTTCTCAATTTGCAGTATTTTTTAATTTTAAATTTCACATTTTTTGGATTTTAAATTTCATAGTTAAAGTTGACTATAGATATTTTCAAGCCACTACAAGATTTCAGACACCAGAACCATATCTTCCACCAAATTTTAGTGTTGCGCCTTACTTACATAGCATAAGGTGTGTACCTTAGTATCTCGCCCTTCTTACAATGTAAAGAAATTTTATGAATTGCCTATAACATAAGAAGGGCTATTTATTTGATATGACTATTAACGTGACCAAAGGAAGCTTTAAAATGGATAAGACATTTGTGAGGAACATTGGAATCAGAGGCCTGGCCTTGGCCTATGCCATCGGGCTCCCCGAGCCTACTTCATGGCCCTATTATACGGGCCTGTATCTTGCCGACATCAGGCCTCATCCCTCGTGTCAGGCAGCTCAGGCCATTGCCAGCCCTAAAGAAGAGTGGAAAGAGCGAGTCCCCTTGTCTTCACCCAAAGTGTTTACGGTGGGTAGCCACTAACCATTGTAGAACTAGAAAACAATACAATGAATCTTCATTGAGATATAAATCTAATACGATCCCTATGGTCATTGCAACCAAAATGACCATGTGGGAGTCCATTTTTCTAGCTTTTACACTTAAAGTGCGGTGATGGTCTATTAGTTTTTTTTTTTCAGCATCCATAAAGACAAATTTGAATTACTTAGGTGAATGTTTGGGGATGAAAGAGGGCTTTATAACTAAAATTTTGGAATTAATTCAAGATTTTTGATAAAGAAACGGGAAAAAGATTGAAAATGGAGGGTTAGGATTTTAGAGAACAAAAAACAGATATGCCCCTGGTTTATGGTGTGTGGTACACATTGGATATCCAACCCTAATTCCCAATGATATAAGGCAGATTAAGTCGTTTTGAGAGTTGAGGAATATGGTTAATCTCCACTGCCGGTCGAACTTTGGGAATGAAGAATGGATGTCCCCATTGTCTACCATCTACCATAGGAAAAGGAGGCAGTCCAGCTTTGTGGTGTTTTTAGGGCATATTTCAAGAGTTCAAGGTATTGACTTGCTCAGGCATCCTTACTAGAAATACAATCTACCACTCTTAGTTTTTGGAAAGGTCAAAGGGTGGAAATATTATATATATATATATATATATATATGGAAATGACCTTGTGAGACCCTCTTACACTCATGTGTGTAGGACTTCAACGGATCACCATTAAATTTGGTACAGATCTCTACAAAAGTTATCACATGGGTGTGGGACTTGATTTTTCTAGAGATCTGTGCCAAATTTAATGAACATTGACTTCTCAACGCCTATAGGTGAAAATGAACATTGATTTCGTTTACTCTCATCACCGTCTAAAGTTCATTGCACTGTCAGGATTGTCTAATAGTTTTTTATTTGTTATTTTTTTCTACAAATCAAAATGATCTGAAATTTAGAACGTACGTACATCTTATTGAGACGGACCTAAGAAAAATATAAAACAAATAATCCGTGAAAAATAAATTGACCAAAATGCCCCCAAAAAATATTTTGGGGTTATTTTGGTCAATTCATGTAAAATATTGTTTTGACATTTCTCGTAGATTCATCTATTTTTTATGAACATATGCCCCAAATTTCAAGTCATTCTGATTAGTAGAAAAAAAAATGAAAAATGAAACACTACTGGACAATCGTGACCATACGATGAACTTTGAACGACGATGAGAGTAGACGAAATCACAATTCATTTTCTCCTATAAACATTTTGTAGTATTTTTCATATATATATATATATATATATATATTTAAAGCAATCATGCACAACATATGCATAGAAACTAAGAGCATGCAACAACATAAAAAATTGTATATTACACGAGTATCTTACACAATAAATTGTATATACAAGAGTTCGCCACTATAGGAGTGTGGAGCACAATTTTTTTGAGAAATTTCTCCTTCTAAAATTCTTTATGATATTAGAGTCATTATTGCTTGTGATGTAATCCATAAAGCACAGTCAAAAGAGGGAAAATTCGAAGGGAGATTACGTGAACACTTTTTTTCATCGGTAAAAGTTAGTCTTTATTTTCCCCTTGCTTTTTATCTTCACGCCACTCACTGCATTAAAGAGCTTGGGAAAATTGCTGATACCTTTGATATGGGGCTTTCTAGATAATGTCGCTAACAAATTGTTTTATCATAATTTTTATCTCAAAACAAATTTTTCTATCAAATATGCTCAAGTAAAAAGGTAGTTGTTTTTTTTTTTTTAACAAAAATACATTTATCCATACATGATGACGTCCAATCCCCGAACTAAGTCCACAATATGACAGACCGAGTGCGCATGTTGAACTAAGTGCATGTTGTCACACAATGATTGCCGGGCTGAATGGGGACATTGTCGGACCATGCTTTGGGCCTATTGCCGGACTGCATGGACCTATTCCCGGACCGCTTTTGGGTTATCGATGGACCACTCGTTTATACTGTCAGACTGCCTTTTTTATGTGTGTTATGGGAAAAAAATTAAGTGGCGTGTGTTAGAAGAGAGATAGGACATTTTGGTTATAAAAACTATAACTTTTTGATTGGAGGTATCTGTTAAAAAAATTTATTTAATTATAATAAAAAATTAATTAAGAGACGTTGTCTAAAAAATCCAAATACTCTCCATATCTTGCAAATTCTCCCACTCCATGTCATCTACCACTCATCCATAATACTCTCCATAATACTCATCCATAATACTCTCCATATCTTGCAAATTCTCCCACTCCATGTCATCTACCACTCATCCATACCATCCATATGATACATACCTTTCATATCATCCATATCAACCATGACTAGCCCATAGTCTACACTCTTTCTTATACACCGAAATGCTCTAAAACTCTCGCTTACCCTCTCTGAGTCGATGCATCTATCATCAATTATCTCTTTTGCTCGAATTGACAATTTATCCTTATCAAATAAGTATATTATCCCTCCACCCTTAATATAGAAAATTTTGTATCGGAAAAAATGAAAGTGACAAGTCTACACCAAAAATGTATCTCATTAGAGAATCCTCATAAAAATAGGCAATCTACATACAGTTAGGCTTGCTTCTTGGTCTTGTTCCTTTTAACAAATATGTATCTCATTGGAGAATCCGCATAAAAAAGAAATCAGATACACCGAACCAACGTATCTTATCATATGGTGACTTTGAATTGGGTACTTGTATTAAATCGTTTTTAAAACAATTGAAAACAGAAAATTTTGAACCGTCCTATGTTGCTAACGTCATCCCACAAGGAGGCAGTTCCATATTTTGCCTAGCGTACCACGCTATAAATGGCAGAAAATAAATTTTTTTAAAAAAGGGCGCGGTTTGTATAGAGCCGAGGCTCTAAACAATCAAAGTAGAGCCCACCTTCAATTAGGGTCGAAAAATATGGTTTTAATATTGACAATCTCTGTGATAGCCTTAAAATATATTTTCATATTTAATTATAAAATTTAAAGCTTCGAAAATAGTATAGATCGAGCAGATCTATGAAAACTTGAAAATCTTAAAAATTAACGGTCCATTTTTTTCCAAAATTATAAGATATACTATTTCCAAAACTTGAAATCCATTTTTTCTCATATCCATCCATCTTGGTGTCGATATGATCAGTTCGAGGATATTTGGGCATCAAAAGAACCTCTTCTAGTGAAATTTTGGATGTAGGCTCTAATTTGATTGTTTAAAGCTTAGGCTCTATAATAAACTTTTCTATATAAAAAAATAGACATTGGGGGAAACGGACAAACATAAACAATTGTTTCATGCGGGCAGGACCACATTTGTATAAGGGATTGTATACAATGAGACCATTTACCTTTGATATAAGGTGGTCACAATTCCTTAAAACCATTTGATGTGAATTTGATAGCTTGGATGCGTTACGAAGTTTGAGAAATTTTTTTTTTTGAAGTTTGAGTTTGGTCAATGGAGTAATTACAACCACCTAATTTTACATTCAATGGTCAAGATTAATGTGACCACTTTGTATAAAAGGTAAACGGTCTCATTCTATACTTTTCCTTGGTATAATATGTGTTCCAAATGCATAAAGCATCCATCTTAAAGACAGATATAAATAGGTGGTCCATTTTAAAAAAAATGTAACTAACTGTCCAAATGTTTTGTTAATATAATTATTTTTTTTTAATTTTTAAAATTTATTTATTTTTTCATAGTCATGATCTCCAGGTTAAAGATTATATATTCTATAAAATTAAAGATCAAATTATATTTTAAAAATATATTTACTGCCAAGCGCACATTTCCACATTTTGCGGGCTTGCCCACATGTTAACCGTATTCAAAAAATAAGGGAAAAAGTTAAGATAAAGTTGCAACCTTAAAATGTAGAATTAAAGGTGCATCTAAAAAATCCATCATAAAAAGTTGTTTGGATGTTGGAAAACCCTCTAATTAATCATCCCAACATCGAGATGTATGAATATGAAAAGAAAAAAGGATTTTGAGTCCGCGAAATAGTGTATCTTGCAACACATTATCTGCACTATCAATTTTCAAGTTTTTCATGTGTTTATATATTTGCTTGATTTAAATCATTTTTATAGTTTAAAATTTTATATTTAGAAATGAAAATAGATTCTCAAGCTATCTTAAGAAATTTTTTTTATCAAAATTACATTTATGATAAAATTTAGATGTGAACCTTAATTGAATTGTTTAACGTACCACACCCAAAAATAAAACGAATACCTCATTGTGAAATATTTTACAATGCGAATAAAAAGGTAATTCCGTAATATTTAATCATAAATTTCCAAAAGAATATCTCAAGGAAAAAGTTTGTATAGAACTGAGGCTCTAAACAATACAATTAGATCTCATCTCAAAAATTTCACTGAAAGAGGTTGTTTTGATGCCCAAATATCCTTAAATTGATCATCTCGATATAATTTCACTAAAAGAGGTCGTTTTGATGGCAAAAAATCTTTAAATTGATCATCTCGACATAATTTCACTAAATGAGGTTGTTTTGACGTCCAAATATCTTTAAATTGATCGTCTCGACATAAAGATGCATGATTTTGAATTTTGGAAATAGTGCATCTTGTGATGCATTTTTGGACTATAAGTTTTTCAAGTTTTAATAGATCTAATCGATCTACATTATTTTTAAAGCTTTAAATTTTATAATTAAATATAAAAATAAATTTTAAGGCTATCACAAAGATTTACAGTTGAAACCACACATTTCTCGACCCTATTTGAAGGCGCGATAAAATTACAAAGAATAAGGATTCATCAGGATAGGCACCACATGAGTTGTCAAAGAATCACGTCTTATTTACTTGATGGACGCCACAGGCGTTATTAAAGAATCGTGTCTTTCACGGCAGGTTGATTTCTCTATGTTACGTAGTGGACAACGGTCTAAAGTGAAGTTTTCTAATGGAAAAATGTACCCACTCTCTATTGACTGAGGTTTGTACAACTGCCCACTTTATACTGTATTGGTGAGTCACACTTCTAAATTTAACTGAAAGATAAGAGTTTCAGAGTCGAAAACCGTACAATAACTTAAAAACTTGTTACAAGATTGGAGTTTTTTAGGACATAAATTTTAATAACCTGTTACAAGATTGGAGTTTTTTATCACATAAATTTTGCTCAAATGATCAATTCGGAAAGTTTTCCAATTTCAAAACACCCTTTTCTACTAAGGTTTTAGGTCTACTAAACTTCTATGTACACCTTACTTACTTCTACAGTGTATGGTTTTGACGTTTTCTCCATATATTACAGTAAACAATTATATACTTTAAGCCAAAAAATAAAATACTCCTGTGGGAGTATATTGTCTATTTGCTCCCTAAGGTAAAACCGTACCTAGAATTTAACTTTAGGAACCACACATTTTGGTATATAACTTCTCCAATCTAAAAAGTAAAAATATTTCTTTAAGAGTAATGAAATTGCACCTTTTATATATTTAAAAAATAATTTCTCGATATTGAATGGAGACGATCCAAGTTTTAAATGGCCAGATCTGCGTGTCAGAAAACTCAAATTTTTAATTTTTTTTTGTTTTTTGAGAGTAATCAGTAATTCTTAGGTAGCCTCTAAATTTCATACTGAAAAAATCTAAATGTTCCAACCGAGGGAGTGGCTCCCGCGAGGGCATAATGTACTTTTAGTTTAATCATATTTACTTTTGTCTTTATTGGCACCTCAAAATGTATGATTTGTTTCGGCATCGCACCTCAAGCACCGATGAGAAAAACTTTTACCATTCCTATTAAAATAATTTTTTCTCTAAACAATTATTAAAATAATCGTTATAAACAATTAAAATTATAAAATACCTTTCATCATTCTTATTAAAAACTTTTATCAACTGAGGTAGTCTCTAAACAATTATTAAAATAAATTTTTCTACACCAGAGACCGATTTGGTATTTAATACAACAATAATGCAAAACAATAATTTTTTAACACGCATAAGTCATATTACTAAATGTACATCGGATTTAAGCTTGTAAATAACAACAATAAAATTCCAAATATATTTATCTATATATTCCTCATAAATTACATAATTCATACCATATCATGAACAAAACCCCATAATCTACATGCCTCTATCCAGGGAGGTAGAAAATATGCTGGGGATAGGGAAATCGGATACCAGAAATTTCGAGTCACTTTGCTCCGGAGTCCGTCACGTGGTGGCGGTACCGTTCCCGGGCCAGGGCCACATCAACCCCATGATGCACCTCTGCAAGCGACTTGCATCCAAAGGTGCAGCCATAAGCTTTGTGGTCACAAAAGAATGGGTTGGGTTCATGTCGGGTCAGCCGATTCCACCAAATGTTCGACTTTGCCCAATACCAAATGTTATACCCTCAGAGCTGAATCGAAGCGCAGATTGGACCGGATTCATTGAAGCCGTGAGCACAAAGATGGAGGAGCCATTCGAGCGGCTTCTAGTTGGATTGTTAGAGACGGAGGAACGGCCGGTTTCCGTTGTTATTGTTGACGTCTTCATGCCGTGGGCGGCTGATGTGGCAGAAAGAAGGGGTATTCCGGTGGCTGTGCTTTTCCCTATGGCGTCAGCGATCTTCTCCATCTACTACCACTTTGATCTCCTCTTTTCAAAAGGCCATTTTTCCGGCAGCTCCACTGGTAAGTTATAAGAGCCCTTCTGTGGAAAGTTACTATGTAACAAATGTTATAATATGGTCATAAGGGTGAGGAAAATATGGTCAGATGGGTTGTAACGATGAGTGAATGAGTTGGACGGTGAAGAAGGAGGAGTGGGATGCTTGCCGTGATCCCCTCGTCCTTCGGCAGTTGGATAGAAGGCCCATTGAAGAGTTTTTCCTTCGTTTCTTGGGAAAATTATAGATACTCAACATCAACTTCCAGACATCTTATCTCCAAAAATTTTTCTACTATACCTTAAATTGCAATATTGTTTTTTTTGTATTTATCCCCTGAATAAAAACATCAATCAATTTAAGATGAAAATACTCTTACTCTCTCTACACAAACAAAAATATGATATATGTCACCTTTTGTATTATCTCATTCTCTCTCTCTATCCAATCACTCTCTCTTTCCTCTATTGGCCATCTCTCCCCGCTCTCTTTCTCTCTCTACCTGCTCTCTCTCCCTCTCTTGCTCTCTTTCTCTCTCTCTTTGCCTGCCTTCTCTTTCTTTCTCTCTATCTGTGGACACGAATTTTCATAAGCTTTTTTTTGTGGTTTGGCACAATTTCGTGTCGGACTACAAAAAAAATTCTGGTCCGGAACATTGGGCAAGTAGAGAGAGAGTTGAAAGAGATGGAGGATGGAGAAACGGGGAGAGACGGTGGATAGAGAGAGAAAGAAAAAGTGTAGAGAGAATACAAAAAACTAACATGTAATATTTTTGTTTGTGTAAAAACAATAAAGGTGTTTTCATCCCAAATTTATTGAATTTTTAGTTTGGGGATAAATACAAAGAAAAACAATATTAGAGTTTAGGGATAGAAAGAATTTTGAGCGTCAAGATACCTATAAAGTTGATTTTAGGGAGTACATATAATTTTCTTTTGTTTCACATGGGCCCGTTTTCGACACCTTTAGACCCAAACAAACCATTGGGCTCCTAAGCATACCACTAGTTTTAAAACAAAAAATTATAGAAAGGAAAATTGTTTCATGTGGGCTGGACCACAAGACTACATATGTGGTCCAAAAAATGTAAAGCATCCATCTTAAAGATAGATGCAAGTAGGTGTTCCATTTAAAAACAATGGAAACTAACGGTTCAAATGTTTTCTTACTAAAATTATTATTTCTAGCTTTTAAAATTTACTTATTTTATCATATTCATGATCTGCATGTTAGAGATTACATGTCTTTAAAAATTAAGTCCAAAAATCCATCCCAAAAATATATTTATTACTAGGCCCACATTTCTACATATGCAGCCTTGAACCCATAGAACCGGGTCCTTATAGAGATAGTCGCAATTTGTACTTCCTCGGTCTTTCTTGCAACAGTTTTGAAGCTACAATGTTGATCCCATTTTCGCAACTACTCCCCCAAGTCAAAAAATTAATGTTTTGGGACCAAATTACCGTTTTAGACCTCTCCAACATTTTTGATACCATACTATTAACCTTATTTTTACAACTACTCTGGTGTAGAAAGTAATTTTTTCAGTACATTGGACCGGTTTGTGCCGGTCTCATACAAAACTCTACCAGACCGGTCTCATACAAAACTCATTTTCTTTTTCACAAAAAAAACAAATGAGTCCAATAGTTGAAAAGAAGTCCCTTCAAATATATCTCGCTCTTTCGGAGTCCCCGAACAAGAATGTTGAATTCTCAGCCCAACCCCACTACCATGTTGAATTTGATCTACCCAACCCCACCAACTCCCCCTGCAACGGCCCCAAGTCCCCCCTCTCTCGTTTCTACCCCAGCTCACCCACAAGGTTCATCCTCTCTCAATCCCACCTCCGCTGCTTCCTCCTCACAAAAAAAAACAAGCCACATTTGGATGAGTCCACCGCAACTTAGAAGTTATCTAATCAAAATACCTTCGGAAGTCAAAAAGAAAAACCAATTGTTGCCGGGCTGGGCTTTGCCTGGCCCTAGCGCAACCATGATCCTCCTAGTGCTGCCCAGGCCGGGCACGGTCTAGGCCAGACTAAAGCAGCCCTAGCCCAATTCCAACCCAACCCGGCCCTCGGGTTGTAGTGGCGCAGCCCTTGGGCTATATTTTTTAGCCTAAACCCTAACTTATTAGAGGCAGGTTGATTGAGCCGCATCGGGCGGAGCCACCTGGCTAGTGCCCCACTAGGTTTTTGAGAACTAAATAATAATTAGAGTTGCTTTTGGTGGAGAGGGAAAGAGGGTTGGTGGAGGAGGGAGTACATTTTTTCTTTTCATTTTCATTTTTGCTGAAAAATAGTATTTGACACCAAATTCCGCTCTACTGATAGCCCTAAACTAGGCTCTGATACTACTTGTTGGTTGTTTGTTGCTGGTTCTGCTTTTCTCGTATTTTATTTGCCAAAAGTCAACCCATTGGATTTAAAGCTTATGTGCACAACAAAATGTAATCTTTCGCCAAAACAAATTGACATGTTAATTTCAATTTTCAAGTAAGCCAAGAAGAACATGTCGACTACCTACCCGGCGTTTCTTTGACACGCATACTTGATCTTCCGCACGTGGGTGGGAGAGAGGAGGCACAACAAAGAGCAAGGTGTCTGCAGTTCTTCCAACAATTTCAGCAAGTCAACTTCATCCTGATCTACTCCTTCTATGAGCTCGAGAGTCCAACGATCGATGCCTTACATGCATTACTCCCACGTGGCCACATTTTTCCTGTCGGTCCCTTGATCCCCTTACCCCAAGAAAATGAATTCAAGACGAATGCTAGACCAGAGGTTGACTGCTCCTCATGGCTAGACTCACAACCTCATGGCTCCACTCTCTATGTTTCACTAGGTAGTCTCGTGACTGTCCCGGATAGACAAATGATGGAGCTGGCCTTCGGACTTATTGAGAGCGAAATCCGATTCATTTGGGTAGCTCGAGATCCTACGAGGAATTTAAGAGACATGTGCAAGGACAATGGCCTAGTAGTTACTTGGTGTTCTCAATCTAAGGTCTTGAGGCATCCATCCATAGGGGGTTTCTTAACACATTGTGGGTGGAATTCTACCATGGAAGCTGTACTGGCTGGTGTACCAATGCTAACTTTCCCGATTAATTTCGACCAACCAATGAATAGTAAGCTAGTTACAGATGATTGGAAGGTTGGGCTGAGGGTTAGAAGTGGACCAATGGGTGAAAATGAATTGGTCGGTAGAGGAGAAATTGCTAGCCTTGTGAGAAGGCTCTTTGACGGAGAAGAAAGCAAAGAAATGAGGAGGAGGATTGAGAAGCTTAAGGAGGCTGGTCTAAAGACCTTTGAAAGGGGCGGATCATCAGACATTAGCTTAAATGCTTTCCTCGAGTCATTAGATTGTTGATATCGATCGATTTGCTTTAAAAATCAGTGTATTTTGTTTGACAGTTTGTCCGGATGTTTCGTAGTGTTACATGAAGACATATACCAGTGTGACTGCGTTGTCAAGCTTTGGAAAGGGAAGCGATCGAGCAGTGACCAATTTGAATGAATTTGGGAGTATTTTGTTTGTCATTTGCTCTTTTGTTAGGACTTAGGAGTAGGAGGTAGGCTTATTAGCATTACCAATTAGGAGTAGGAGTAGGACTTAGGAACAATGACCAATTCGAATAAGCAGGGCTATATTAGGCTTATTAGCATATAACCAGAAAAATCATCAAATAGTTGGCATGCAAGTGTCATCTTTAATCCTTCATTTATATCGAATTATCAGTTACTATGGTTTGCCGAAAATCTCATCAACACTATAAAAATCACGCATAAAGTTTAAAATTTTGTCATGCAAAATAGAATCAAAACCCAAAGTAGAGTATGATTATTGTGAACGTCATCCAAGAGTTCTAATCGCCCCATACAAATTTACAGCAAGCATATTTAATTAAAGGGTGAGGTTTGTTTAAGGTTGAGGCCCCAAACAATCTAAGTAAGACGCAGTGACGTACCCCTTAAATAGTGTCAAAAGATGATTTTTCAATAGCAAAAATCTTTGTGATAGCTTAAAAATTTATTTTCATCTCTAACTATAAAATTGAAAGTTTCATAAATAATGTAGATTGAGAATATCTACGGCCATTTGAAAATACTGAAAATTGATTGCCCAGATATTACATATGCTATTTCCCATTCTTGAAATCCAAATTTTTTTCACCGCTATGCATTCAAGGTTTAAATGATTCGATTTAAGGGTTTTTTTTGGCATCCAAAGAATCTCTTCTAGTGAATTTGTAAGGTGTGATTTAATTTGATTGTTTATGACCTCAACCTTATGTGAACTTTTTTCTTTAACTAAAAGCCCATCTTAAATCATGCTAAACAACTGGGAATGATCGTCTATCTCCTTGTTCATGCAACTTTCCCAACATCAAATAGTATTTTAAATACAAAAAAGGAACAAAATCATAGGACAAACTTACTGATTTTGTAGACTTGCAGGTCTTATTTTGTTGCTTCTCAAGCGAGAGAAAACCATCATAAATTATTTTGTCACGAAAGTGCATGAGAGAGAAGATAATTTAGAGAAAGAAATAGGGCAAGGGAGACACAACGCTTTAATTTATCTTTTGATCACTGTAGGCCTCACATAGATATGAGAAGCCCCCGCTAGTTTTTTGCATGTGTTGAATCTCTAGGAAATTGTGGAGTGCGTGGTATAAAGTTCCCACTTTATCTTGTTTCTTTTCCTTTATTTGGGATGTTTGTTTTTGTCTTTTAAAAGAATCCTTTTGTCCTACGATTAAATATCTATTTTTTGAGACCTATCTATTTTTGAGATTCTTCTATGGACCCGGTTGGCCAAACCCGTATATGGAGAAATGCAGGCCTCTTAATAAATTTATTTTTGAGATAGATTAGTAAGTAATTTTTTAGGACATGTAATCTCTAACTAAAAATAATAATTCTAGTAAGAAAAATAAATAAAATTTAAAAATTAAAAATAATAATTCTAGTAAGAAAACATATGGACCGTTAGTTTCTATTGTTTTTAGATAAAACACCTAATTGCATCCATCTTTAAACTAGATGCTTTACCCTTTTTGGACCGCATATTTAGAAATGTCGATCAGGTATGAAACAATTTTCCTTCGAGCATTTATAGTTGATTTTAAAAATGGTTAAATTTTGCAAGTGCATAAAACATGATACCTACCCTTTTTAAGGAGAATCTTTTCTTTGTTAGGAAGATTAGTGAGAATAGGTCCTACAAAGATCAATTCCTTTTTTTTTGTTTTTTTTTAAGATGGTCAAAACTTTATCTAGAGTCGAATGTTACTGAGATGTCCACTAGAGATAAAAAATTGTAGACATCATATTGTAACATCCCACCATCCTAACCAGATCTATTAGAGATAAAATATTATAGACATTATGTTGTAGTATTTTACCATCTTGACCACCTATGCTTCGAGGATATTTTTACTCCCAATAATATAAGTCTTATTCAGGGAATCACCATCAAATGAGCTATAGGTAACTACTATGTGACATTATAAGAGTAACTATAACATGATACCAGTAAGTGATACTTGTCTTCAAATGGCATAACGTTGCATGTGGCGCTACCCACATATTAAACATCACATGTGGTGCCACTTTTAAGCCATCTGATTAGAAATAACTATTGAGATTGCTCCGGTTGTAATGTCACATCAAAATCTCTTTAATTTCTAATTTTTTACCACAAACTATTTTCAAAGCAAAATTTGGAGCATTGTCTTGCCTTAGCAAAAGATAAAAAATATTTTTATAAAAATAAATAACCAAAAAGCCCTTACAAGTTTCAAAGATATTTTAGTAAAATATCTTTTTGTTATTTTTTTTTACCATGGTGCCTCTATTAGATATGTGCACGCTCCAAACACGCTGTTTAATGATCTACAATGGAAAATTAAAAATAAAATATTTCAAGCCATAGGATCAAGATAAAAACCTTAATAGCAACATGTAGACTTTGTGAGAGTCCTTTATGCAACGTGTCGAATGCAACCCTCCGATGTATACACAAATCCAACTTCCCAAATTAAACTTGCCGCTCTACTTGACTAAGTACACATAGCTAACATTGGGGCATCATACTCCTATCCCAGTCCTCTCCTCTCATGGCGGAGCATGAAGAGATCCCCGCCATCGGAAAACATGATTCCGGCAAGACACAGCCATTCATCCGCCACTTAGCTGTGGTCCCATACCCAGGACAAGGCCACATCAACCCCATGATGCGCCTTTGCACGAGACTCGCATCAAAAGGGTTATTGATGAGCATCGTAGTGACTGAAGAGTGGCTTGGCTTCATAACTTCCGGTCAGGAGCCATCGCCTAACTTGCGGCTATTCTCGATACCCAATGTTTTACCATCCGAGCTAAGACATGGAGCCGACTTGACTGGCTTCATGGAAGCCGTGCACACGAAGATGGCGGAACCAGTTGACTGGCTCATTGGCTCCCTTGAGCCACCATTTCAGGGCTTATTGCTGATTTGTAGCTTCCTTGGGCGGCTGATGTGGCCGAGAGGAGGGGTCTTCCGGTGGGTTTGCTGTATCCGATGGCATCGGCTGTGTTTTCTATCTTCTATCACTTTGATGACTTGGTTTCTTGGCTACATTTGCCTCCCAACTTCTCAGGTGAGAATGGGCCACATAGATACACTTCCTCTTCTCCAAGACCCTCTTTTTGAATGGTAAAAGTAATGGCGAGAATGGGCCACATAAGATTGGGTGCGGTTTGTATAGAGCCAAGGCTTTACAATAGCAAAATAATGCGCTTCTTCAAATAGTGTCAAGAAATATAATTTTGAAATAGCTTTAAAATATATTTTTATTTTTAGTTATAAAATTTAAAGCTTAAAAAACAGTGTAGATCGAACAGATCTATGAAAACATGAAAATTGACAGTCTAAAAATACGTTACAAAATGCACTATTTCCAAAACTTGAAATCCATTTTTTTTTTCTCATATCTATGCATCTTGATGATATTTTTCATGATCAATCTTGATGATCAATTTGATGATATTTTTCAAGGTGGGCTCTAATTTGATTGTTTAGAGCCTCGGCTCTATATAAAATTCTTCCCATAAGAATTGAGCCCAATTAGCTCACAAATTTTCATGTTTTAACTTGGAGAACAATATTTTAAAAAACCAATAATGTCCTTAAATTAACAATTTCACCAATGAAAATGGTTAGTATCTAAGAAATAATTTCCTTTCCGTGCTTCTTAACGAGTTTTATTACAACACACCAACTAATATAACAATTGACAACAACAGTATTTTGGTAATTTGACCCAAATACTCATGCCCAGAGTCAGAATTTGGAGACAAGAACAATCAAGATTATTTGAGTAATGAGAAATCCTTTAATGTGGCTCTATGGAGAAATAAAATATGTGCAACTATTATCAGCTATCTGATATGGATGGACAACTGAGATATAATTAATGTTAATCACCTTATTAGATCTTAATCAGGCCACTCAAGGTGTTTAATTTTTAGTCACTTTCTTACTAATCATTTTCAAATAAAATTTTGGTTGTCCCATTTTTTCATTGTGGCATCCCCAATAAAAATAAGAAAAAATATTTTGATAATGAAAAATAACCAAAATGTCTCTACTGTTGGGTTTATGTGGCCTTTAAAGGCTTTATGAGTGCTTTTAAAATGAAATAATATAGTGCAACATGAACTCATTGGGCGTGTGGTCCCTCGTAGACCATACCATACAAACGATGTTTGCAGATACCGGACTGTGCTTGACGATCTAGGCCAATCGGTTGGGAAAAACCCATGTTACCTAGGCATGAAGAATAAACCGATGAGGGTTTATGGGTTAGCCCTTAATGAGGTCAAAGAACATGCACGGATGAGTGAGCCGATGGACTGTATGACCCTTATATGTGATGGTGACCTACAGAGACGGGGAACAAAACCTCATCCATGTGCCATAACACGACATGCATACCGATAGATCGAACGAAAAAGCCAGAAATCCACCTTTTAGGGTGAGCGTATGCATATGTGAGATATCCTCTCATGCGCCATAGAGCTGTGGTCGCATCTGGTATTGGTGACCCAGACTCGTCTTTAGGAGAGGACCTGTAATCCACAGATTGGAATTGCAACCCCTTGGATCATCAGCCATACTTTGGTGATCCACTAATGAGCCCCTGCTTAGACTATGGGTCATGGAAAACACTGGGTCGGTCTGATAAAGCAAGTATGGTCCATAGTCCACAGTTAAAGGTGAAGTGTCCCATGATTTGTTGATTCAATTACTAAACTATATAGATCAATTTCCCATAAAATTAATTTCTTGTGTTTGTTTTATGAAATTGATTATTTTAGAATTATTATTTAAATTTTTATGAACCTCTGCATATTTTATTTATA